TTGAAACTTTCCTAGGTAGGCTGTCTTCACCAGTGTTTGCACTTCGTTTCAAACCCCGCTCACATGATGAAGTTTGTTCTTGGTTCTGATGAGTGCCATCTGTGTTTCCATTCTCTAACAGCATGTTGATTATTGATGTCATGTGGTTAGGATCATCTTTAAACATCTCCAGGTAGCCCCTCAGTTTATTCTCATCACACTCTGGGAACATTTCTGATAGAGAGGAGAGTTCCTCTTCAATGCTCTCCATGGCAGAGATCATATAGGAAGAAGATAAGTTCCTTTTGCTGCTGCTGGCCCTGAATTTAAACTGGAAGTGGAAAGAACCAATTTACTTACACTTTCACAAAAAAACATACACAACACCTATAAAATAATTCCAAGAAGTAACTACATGTTATATGCTCAACTACGCATTTTGTTCTTGAAAATAATTTGACAAACACTGATTTTTATTTGGTAGCCTGTGAATTGGAATGATTGGAATTCTTATTACTGTAAGAGATTTTTCCGATTATAGTCCATGATCCATCAGTTGGTTCAATCCGATTATTTCTGATGATTGATACAGAAATCTCAACCAATTCCGAACACATAGGTCCTACCATTTACCTTTAGACGTTCCATTTTTACCCACACCCCCTAAAAATCTTCAACATTAAGTTTTTGTTGGCACACTTTGAGAGATGAATAAAATGTCAGAAGGGGCAAAATTTTTTTGGCTTCTTCTAAGAAAAAAACACAACCCTCCTCTTCAAAACATAATGTACTTAGCGGGGTGGGGGCGAGGGTTATGACTTGGTCAATTCCAAATATGCCCATACCGCCCCCCCCCCCCGGCATTTAAATTTTTTCAAAACATTTGGTCAAATTCCCCACCCACCAGCCACTCTTCAAAAGTTTTCCCATTCGTCAAACCCTTTAAATATCCTTATAAACACAACCGAAATATCTGAAGTCTCAGAAAGCTGTCTTAAAGAGGTTTTTTATTTCAAGAAAATTGTTTATTCTAGAAAGCCCACATTGAACGGGCTTTTTCAAAGGCTCTCAAATGCTGCAACAAAACAGTGAATATAGGAGCAATGACCCATGAATATGGTGCACATGCTGAATGGTCCTATAAAGTGAGGAAAGAATTATGAAATCCTTTAGCTTGCGACGACCAGCGTTAACACAAACGTGGAATGCTCGACTGGGCTGGCCTCATTTTGGGTCAAATTCCCCAATGTACGTAACCAAAGTTTCAGTCAAATGCACGGGGTATGCCCGGGTGGGGGGGGGGATGGGCGATTTTGAAATTGTACATAAGAATGGAATGTCCCCTTTTAAATTCTCAAGTGCACAATCCGCGCAATATAAAAGTTATATATATAGCCAGCTGTTTACAAGCTCTCTAAGAGATCCCTGGGCTTTACATGCGGCCAGGCCAGTGGAAACAGCAAAGAAAGAGATCGCTCGAACGAAGCGTTCTTCCGATTCGATTTCATGTAAGCTTAACGAGTGGGTTGATCTCCTTCATATAGATCACCTCGATCCCTTTTGTGGAGGATTCTTTCTTATCAGCTTCTGATGTATATAGTTAAAGAAGGTATCGCGATAGATCTTGCATTTTTTATATCGATTTGATAATGGATTAACGACAAAACGGAGAAAAACGATTAACTTTTGAGATTGAAATCGCAGCCTAGCGCCTAGAACAGAACCGACAAGTGAGCGCGCGCCATTACGATGTAGATCACACTTTTTCAAGCAAAATAATAATATACTTACCAATCCTTTGCAAAATCTGAGCAGCCAGAAGGAAATCGGGTATCATTAAGATGTCAGCTGTATGGTATTGACGAGAAAAACAGGGAATGTTCTTCACCCCGATCGCNGCTCTCTAAGAGATCCCTGGGCTTTACATGCGGCCAGGCCAGTGGAAACAGCAAAGAAAGAGATCGCTCGAACGAAGCGTTCTTCCGATTCGATTTCATGTAAGCTTAACGAGTGGGTTGATCTCCTTCATGTAGATCACCTCGATCCCTTTTGTGGAGGATTCTTTCTTATCAGCTGCTGATGTATATAGTTAAAGAAGGTATTGCGATAGATCTTGCATTTTTTATATCGATTTGATAATGGATTAACGACAAAACGGAGAAAAACGATTAACTTTTGAGGTTGAAATCGCAGCCTAGCGCCTAATTATAGAACCGACAAGTAAGCGCGCGCCATTACGATGTAGATCTCACTTTTTCAAGCAAAATAATAATATACTTACCAATCCTTTGCAAAATATGAGCAGCCAGAAGGAAATCGGGTATCATTTAAATCTCAGCTGTATGGTATTGACGAGAAAAACGGGGAATATTCTTCACCCCGATCGCGCTCCATTTTGCTTCGGTTTGAGCAGATTTTCCTCAAATGGCGCGAATCAGAGAACTAACAATTTCATTGGACAAAACTAAACCAATCAGAACTGCTATTATAATAAACCACCCATAAAGCATTTTGGGTAATAAAGATGGCGGCTTCGTTGCTATAAACAAGTCTCAGACGAGAGTTCTTCAATTTTTTGCCTCAAAATGGTCAAACATAAAGTTACGGTGAAGTTTGGCCCTTATATGTCATGTGGAATAGTGGAGCATCGGACTGCTCGATTAGAAGGATTGCAAGGTAAAAACTGTTAAACTACAGGGAGCTAAAATGCTAGGTTACTTAGTATGAAAGTAGTCTCGTAATGTTGATGTTACTAGTAACGCGAATTTAACGGATTTAGTCCATTAGACTTAATCAACCGAAATCGTAGCTAAACAATGCACTGTAGAAGCGCACCATTGGCTTGCAACGCCTCGGTTCACAAGCTGTCCCTTTTCAAAAAGACTTGTCATCTTAAAGTGAGCATATCATAAACCAGATGTTAAATAAACATTTTCCAGGGTAACCACTGAATTATAATCTTTTCTCTTGCAAGTGTGTTCCAAAACGGCTTCTTTTTGGGGTGGGAAGATAAACGACTCTGAGAAAAAGTTTTTTTTCTTCAGTGTACACTTATGGCAGCTCTCCTGGATGCAGCGCAAAATCTCCCAGTCTCCCATACGAACAACCCAAAAATCTCCCGGATAAAATCGACTCTTAAGCCTTTCTTTGACAGCATTGAGTTTTCAGTTAGATAGCTATAGAGCTGACAGAAGACCTCTTTTTCGAATGCTTTGCTGACAACTGGTTTTATGGAAATGGGACAGTAGTTTTCACATTGCCGTCAGTCTCCAGATTTAAAAATAGGTGTTACAGGAGCACATTTCCATTCATCCATGTATATGCCCCACGTCATGAGGGACAGATTAAAGATGAACGTGAGTGAGGGTGCAATGATATTCACAGACAGTTAAGAATTTTGGCAGGAGTTTTATCCAAACCAGTTGCTTTGGATGGTTTTAAGTTTCTCAGTGTTGAAATAACACTATTAACAAGAATTGGTGAAAATTTAAATTGTGCGTGTGGCATTGGTTAGCATCATCAATTACCAGAGGCTCAGTATTGATGCACTGCTCATTGCCACATTCTGCTGCAAGCTTCGGTCCTGTGTTTATAAAATAGTCATTGAAAGCTTCAGCTATAGATTTAGAGTCCAATATTTCATTTTTCATTCACTGATAGAGAGCTCACATTATTCAATTTGTTATTTCTCCCTAATTGCGAATTAATAAGTGTCCAGGTTTTCCTAGGATCATTCGACGCAGAGCTTTCTCCAATCTTGTCTTGAAAAAATTTTGATTTAGCATTATGCATTTCAATGTTTACTTTATTATGCAAATTTCGATACTTCTTCCAGTGAAAATTCAAAAACTCTAACCAGCTGGGCCCCTCGCATATAAATTTGTGCACATAGCAATCTATTGCTGATAAGATGATGTGTGAGATGATGTCTACTCTTATACGTCTGTCAGCAAAGTAACAAAGGCTCTATGACTTTGTCTTTAAAACAAAACTGAATGCAAGGCTGGCAATACGGCAAAGGGCTGATTTATTTGAGGCCAATATTTTGGCTATCTCTTGGAATCATTTTTAGTTTATCATTAACCTCTTATGTAGATTTAAATTCAAATTGTAGGAGCCATTATAGTATTCTCTTTCAGTGTAGCTCTGGCCCTGAGGAAGGCTGATTTTGTTAGCCGAAGTATTGGCTACAAAATGCCTTATTGCCAGCCTTGCATTCAGTTTTGTTTTAATTCCCACTTCAATTGATGTCTGGCATTAGCATCTCTACATTAGAGATCTGGCAAGGAAAACCAGTCGGTTTTATTCACACGTCGAGTGGACCTCTGCATTGAAGGGTTTTTGCCTTGTCTTTGTTAGCACTACTAAGAAGTGAAGGTCACACTGTAGAATTTGTAAAAACTCCAGACAGAGATGATGTAGAGTTGGTTGTTCATGGAGAAACAATTTATTGCTGTAAGATTCAAAATCTCCAATATGGTAAGTCTATAAGTTACTCATGGTTTCCTCACTGGTCTTAAGTTCCTCAGAGATCAACGCCAGTTTTCCATTTCTCTAGTTTGGTTGCCCGATATAAAGATAACTTGTTGCAAAATGTTGCAGATGTCCAAGCTTACTGTTAATAATGTATTGACATGAAGAGGAAATGTACTCTTGTCCTCTCAACTACGGCATTGCCGTTACCATGTTGATGAGTTTCTGGGGTAGTTATACTGGTTTCAGCAACCTTAGAGTTAAGAGATAACTCGAAATACTGTTACCTGATGGTTGCAGCCTTTTAGGAGTGTTCTAATTTTTGTGCTCATAGTGCCAGGTCATTGTATAGATATGACTCAGTGCTGCAGTTTATGGCTTTTTTTTGTTGTTCAGGTGGTGATGGAAAGCTTGATCCAATATGCAAAGAAGCCCTCACTGCTGTCAACAAAGCCTACTGACCTACAGAAAATTGATTTTTATCAATATATTTTTACTATTTCCACACTGTTTTTAAGCGTATTTCATACAAAATAATTGCACAAAATGAAGGAAATGTTCTTCACAGTGCTTTGTAAATAAGACAAGTTTGTCAATAAAGTTATCTCTTGAGAAGAAAGAGCTGTAATTTGCCAATATTCCTCTAAGCACTTAGGACGAGGTGCCAACTTTGTTGCACATTCTCTTATCAGCACCTAATTGCTGCGTGCCCCTAGGCCTGAAGCAGCACACTAATCTTTGGGTTTCCTGTGCTTTCTTCAGTTTCCTGCCTTTAATTATGTGGGACAATCTTGATTTATGTTTGTGACAATATGATTTTCAGCAAGTGTGCATCCAGCGGGGTCATCATAACTTGCAAGGTTCTTCTCTTGCATGTCTTCACCTCTCAGAGCACAGGGATGGCAAACACGTGCAAGAAAAAAAGCATCTTCAATTTCTACTTTTTAACGCTCAATTGTACACAACGGTAACCTTTGCAAGTTAACAAGCACCACAGAATTATCATACTTGTCTACCGATGAAAACAACGGTATAGATTGTGATTTTCCTGAAATAGAGGAGAGGGAAAGGCAAGGTCCAAACCTCCTGCCTCCTTTGTTTTGCATTTCCTACTCCTTTTTTCTTGGCTTGATCCCTTTCGTCCTTTTTAGATTGCAAAATATTAGGCACTGTTGTGTAATTTTCTGATCAATTTATGTTTCTGGGAAACTGCCCACCTACCCCTTCCCTCAGCCATCATTTTGCCCCAAGTAAGAAGTAAGTGTTAATGTTAGCTTAGGCCGATGGGTAAGTAGGCCGTTTCCCAGAAACCTATATTTTCCCCTATTTCTCCCACTTCCCACCCTGTTAGAACTCTCACCTCCTACCCGTTCCGCTTTCGGAACCATGCCAGCCGAGGAGAGAACGACAAAAAGGGTAGCCTGCGTAGCAAGCGTTTCCTCGCGAGGTTCGTCTAGAAAGCTGGGACAAGAGCAAAAAAACATGAATGACGGGGGAGGGGGAGGGGAACGAAGGAACCGCTTGCCCGCAAACCCCACGATTTTGAAAAACTGCGTTCGCCCACGAACGCAGCTTCTGATTGGCGCGGTGTGGGTAGTGTTGATTACTTAGCATTCGAAACATCAATCAAACCAGGTATGCTTTGTTTTCGTGCGTCACAGATCTGGTCTCATCTGATTTGTGGTAGCCGATTACAAATGCTTTGGACTGATATTTATTGGAATCGTGTTTGTGCGAAGGTTTATGAGATCAGAGTCTTCAAAGTATAATTGGAGATCGAGCAGTGGAGACTAGGGAAGGTCAATTTATTGAGAATGACGGCGTGCAGATCCGACTGGCAAAAATGGACTGTTTGTTGGAGATAACATCAACATAAATCATAACATCGGTACTCGACACTAGCTAAAGCCGCCATGGACAAGCGATTTGTCAGCTTTTTTGAAATGAAAAGATTCTTTTTGCTTATTGAAAATTTAGCGGCATCTATTGTAGAGAACGTTTCGAGACAGGCTGAAGAGCAGCCGCTCTGCAAAACTTATACCCGGCGGAGTGAATTGTTCCGGACAAATCATTTTTGACGTGTCGACAAGGTTTCAGACGAGATAAAGCCACACAGTAAAAAAAAAAATAATTAAATTTTGCAGCAATCGCTCATAGTTTTAACTTTCTTTTATCATAAATTTTTTTTATTACAGTTCTTGCAATCGCCTGCAACGTTTTCTATTAGAGAACAAAGTAATTTTGCAAATCTGGTAATCCAGGGGTAATCTGTTCGTTATGTTTCTATTTTGACGAGCTGTCAATTTAGAAATGAATCGAACCGTGAAATATCAAGGGGCGTTTTCCAGAATCGTGGGGTTTGCGGGCAAGCGTTTCCTCTTCTCCCTCCCCCTCCCCCTTCAACCTTTTTTTTGCTTCCGCTCTAACTTTCGCCCAATAACTCGATTGGAAACGCTTGCTACGCAGGCTACAAAAAGGGAAAAGGTTTAGATAAACAAAACAACAAGATTGCGTCACCCTTTTTTGTACATTTCCTCTGCCTCCCACCGTCACTAGGGACCTTACGATCTAACAACGGCGACGCCAATGAAAACGTCAATAGAGAGTTTTAGATCCGAATTTACCGCGAACCTCTAACCGCTGGAGGTCACGTGACAAGTCTTTCGCGTCACGTTTGAGGTTTACGACGTGCGTTTTCAACGTGGGGAGGCGAGGTTTTCACGTATGTCATTTACCTGAAAGCTTTTAGCGCATAATTCTTGTTTTATCCCACGTAATGATACAAAACTCTTGTGGAGCAAGTCTTTATCCATTAACAGAGGCACAAATTCGGGCGAAATGCTAAATTTGATAAATCCCATTGGATCTTGAAAACAAGTACCATTCATGGCTGCTGATTCAAAATGGCGGCCGTAAATGTGCAGGAAGAACTAATGTAACAATTTACAGTTCTTTGCTGCTAGATAACCCAGTGTCACCGTAAATTTCTTTGATTTTCACTGACTGATATTTCTTCTATTTCTAAATGGAAAAAAAAAACAGAATCCACTTCTTTAATCCACCGCCAATATAAATCGAATTATGTTTGAACGTCGAACGGCAAACGGGTAGCCGCAAACCCGCGGTTAAAGGTTCTCGGTAAACTCGGATCTAAAACTCTCTAATGGCGACGCCAATGAAAAATACTCTTCGCAGGTATTCAAACTTTTTCGCGATTATCCCTAGTCTGCACCTAGTTATTTGAAAGAAGGAAATTTAAGTTGGAGCTGAGGAGAAGGGACCGCGCCCGAGTTCAGACAAAGATGGTAGAATTTATCGCCTTGCTGTTCCCGTTCTCAAGTCAACTTAGAATTTGGTCATTCCAAGTCACTTTGCTGGGACGGCAAAAAAATTTTACAAAAATGCGTGATGCACGTACAGAGTTGTTGTGGTGCTCATTAAACCTATTACTTTTTTGAGGTTCCCCGTCGACGTCACCGTAGTAGTTCGTAAGGTCCCCACTGCACGGCTACGACGTGAAATCTCCTAATATAACGTTTTATTATATAGATACTGATGACATACCAGGATTTTTCCTTTTACTAAAAAATCATATCTTCATCGCGCGCAGTGAAGAGACTATCTTTATCTTTCACGTGTGAGGATATTGGTGTCGCCATGGCTACTAACATAATTTTTCTCTTCTTCATTAGAATTTTGACTTTTTGAAACAGAAAATATAAGTATTATTGTATTCATTTCTCCTTTATAGCTTTATATCCGAGTTTCATAACATTGTTCTGTCAGGCATTTTGCGATAGGTAACCACTTTAATTGCACTATTTTGCTGTTTCGAAAATGAATAAAAAAAAGTTGTGTTTTATGTAAGAATTTCATCAGTATCTATAAAATACACAGAGCATTACATGGTCGCTTGGGGATACCATAGTTAATTGAGTGGAATGGTTATGAAACCCGTCAGACTCGTTTGTTATATGTTTTTGTGGACCTGAAAGTGCACAACGTTCAAAAGAATTCCTATCGTTTTGATTGTATTGACCAATAAAAACGTTGCATTAATTTATTCCGTAACAATTTGCCAACAGAAAACAAAGGATTGTGCACTTTCAGGGTGCTTCCAACATAAACTGCAGCACTGTTGTTTTTATCATTGAGGGTTTTTGCCTTGTCTTTGTTAGCACTACTAAGAAGTGAAGGTCACACTGTAGAATTTGTAAAAACTCCAGACAGAGATGATGTAGAGTTGGTTGTTCATGGAGAAACAATTTATTGCTGTAAGATTCAAAATCTCCAATATGGTAAGTCTATAAGTTACTCATGGTTTCCTCACTGGTCTTAAGTTCCTCAGAGATCAACGCCAGTTTTCCATTTCTCTAGTTTGGTTGCCCGATATAAAGATAACTTGTTGCAAAATGTTGCAGATGTCCAAGCTTACTGTTAATAATGTATTGACATGAAGAGGAAATGTACTCTTGTCCTCTCAACTACGGCATTGCCGTTACCATGTTGATGAGTTTCTGGGGTAGTTATACTGGTTTCAGCAACCTTAGAGTTAAGAGATAACTCGAAATACTGTTACCTGATGGTTGCAGCCTTTTAGGAGTGTTCTAATTTTTGTGCTCATAGTGCCAGGTCATTGTATAGATATGACTCAGTGCTGCAGTTTATGGCTTTTTTTTGTTGTTCAGGTGGTGATGGAAAGCTTGATCCAATATGCAAAGAAGCCCTCACTGCTGTCAACAAAGCCTACTGACCTACAGAAAATTGATTTTTATCAATATATTTTTACTATTTCCACACTGTTTTTAAGCGTATTTCATACAAAATAATTGCACAAAATGAAGGAAATGTTCTTCACAGTGCTTTGTAAATAAGACAAGTTTGTCAATAAAGTTATCTCTTGAGAAGAAAGAGCTGTAATTTGCCAATATTCCTCTAAGCACTTAGGACGAGGTGCCAACTTTGTTGCACATTCTCTTATCAGCACCTAATTGCTGCGTGCCCCTAGGCCTGAAGCAGCACACTAATCTTTGGGTTTCCTGTGCTTTCTTCAGTTTCCTGCCTTTAATTATGTGGGACAATCTTGATTTATGTTTGTGACAATATGATTTTCAGCAAGTGTGCATCCAGCGGGGTCATCATAACTTGCAAGGTTCTTCTCTTGCATGTCTTCACCTCTCAGAGCACAGGGATGGCAAACACGTGCAAGAAAAAAAGCATCTTCAATTTCTACTTTTTAACGCTCAATTGTACACAACGGTAACCTTTGCAAGTTAACAAGCACCACAGAATTATCATACTTGTCTACCGATGAAAACAACGGTATAGATTGTGATTTTCCTGAAATAGAGGAGAGGGAAAGGCAAGGTCCAAACCTCCTGCCTCCTTTGTTTTGCATTTCCTACTCCTTTTTTCTTGGCTTGATCCCTTTCGTCCTTTTTAGATTGCAAAATATTAGGCACTGTTGTGTAATTTTCTGATCAATTTATGTTTCTGGGAAACTGCCCACCTACCCCTTCCCTCAGCCATCATTTTGCCCCAAGTAAGAAGTAAGTGTTAATGTTAGCTTAGGCCGATGGGTAAGTAGGCCGTTTCCCAGAAACCTATATTTTCCC